TCCAAAACCGTGGAACCGAAACCGAGTGACGCATAAGCTAGGCCACCCCGCCGCCTCCGCCGCCGCAGTAAGCACACAGGAACGAGCATCGCGAAAGCGGAGGAGGGGGCAAAACCCAACACGCTGAAACAACACAGCAGCCAAACATCACACGCCCTCTCTTCCTCCGCCTCTCGCCAGGCTCAGCCGACTTGGCAACGGGGGTGGGGGAAGGGGAGACACTCGCTGGGTTCGCCCTCCTGCTTCGGCGTCCCCCCCGACATTTCTGCCACGCGTCCTGCCCTGCTCTGCCACCAACCCCATGCCATGTGTTGCCCTTGCGCAGGCTTTCTCTTCGCAGAGAATCGTCAGGCCGAGCCAATCGGTGCGGCGTCCCCTCCCCGCAACAGAAGAGACGCGGCCCCATCCGGGCGGTCCGGGCCAAAGGTGGGGAAACCCCGAAGCGTGAACCCCCGGATGACACGACGCCCTCTCTTCGACCAACCAACCCGAGCTACGGCCTTTGTGGCTTTGATCTTCCCTTTCCTTCTTCCCCCCCTTGCGCTCTGGCGAGACGAGACCGACCGAGATCGTCGGGCGTGCAAGATGCTGGGAGGGGAGATGGTGCTGACGCACTCATCGAGCTGTGCCGACGTTGCGCTGACGGCGACGCGCGTGCGACTCCGAGATGTCGGGAGGATGACGTTGGCGCGTAGGCACTCGGATTTGAAGGCAAGCGATCGACCGGCAAGGCAGTGAAATGTGCCTTATCGAGGGCGGAACGTTGGTCTCCTTGGTGGTAATCATCATCGTCTGGCGCGTCAGTGCCGGCTGCTGTTCGCCCAAACACGACCTGTACCGAACGAAAGATCATAATGTGCTTCATTTCTCCTCGCCTGTCTCTGATGTCTACTTCATACATGTATGAGGCTACCAACTCAATGCTACCGCCGTCCTACCATACGCCTCTTTTACTCATTATTTCCATGGGACGCAGCCTGGTATAGCAAGCCAGTCTCGATCATCGCTCACAGGTCGCATCGCGTGACCTCCCCAAGAATCCACAAACAGAAAAAAGACTGACAAATAAAAATGTCGGAAGTAGTGGTTCAAGAAAAGGGGGCGGAATTGGCCGACCAGGCTGCCACCGTGAGCCTGGCTTGGGCCAAGAAACGAATCCAGTATACATACTCGCAATTCGGTTCAGCCGCCCCACCACCCTGTCGAAGGGCCTTCAGCCTCCTTGCTCCAAAGATCAATCGTCGTGCAGCTTGTCATGATCCCAATCGGGCCTCACGCGAGCCTCTTTGTGACCCGTTCGCGGCCAGTACGCTAAAGAAATGTCCGGCGGGCAAAGTAGCGCGCCTCTGTCCTGTGCAAGAGAGGATGGCTCTACAGCATCGTCCCGAATGTGTTGTCTTCGCGGAAAGGGTTGGGCTTGCGCGGGCTGCTCTCTTCTGTCTGCGGCTTGCGGTGGCGGAACGTGAAGCCGACAAAGAGACCCTTGCCCATCTCTTCGCCACGCTCAGCCATGTTCTCCAGGGCTGTCTGCTTGTCGTGCACCTCCTTGTACTTAGCCATGTCTGCCTCGTTGGTGAAGTCATCAAAGTAGCCTGCATCCGTCTCCGAGTCCAGCTCGGGGACGAAAGGCGCTTTGGTCTGGCGGAGCACCTCCCAGTCGACCTCGGCGAAGTACTGGTGCGCGTAGATTTCCTGGATGGTGGAGAATCGCCTTGACCTCGAGTTGATACACCTATCGCCATGTTTAGCCACCTTCATCGCGTCAGATGCCGTGTTTGATCAAAACTCACGTGGTGATGAAGTTCCAAGTCCTGTTGCTGAGGAAATAGTTGGGGTCCTCCCAAACAGGCCGCTTCAGAACCTCCTTCCAGTGTTTCAAATTCCTCCACGTCTCGTCGGCACTGGAACCAGCAAAGGGTGGGAAGCCAGTCAGAGCCTCGAAGAGCATGCAGCCCAAGCTCCAGTAGTCAACCGTAAAGTCGTATTCTTCACCACGGAGAACCTCTGGTGCCATGTAATCGGGCGAACCGACGATAGATTTGGCGTAGTTGACGTCATTCTCTCTCATCATTTGGTAGCCCTCCCGTCTCTCGGCCACCGTTCGTTGCTCCATCGGCTTGCCAAACGGTACGGACGTCTCAGACGCCTTCTCGAGACGGATGCGCATCGACTCAATTTTGGCCGGAGCCAGCATGCCTGCAGCAAGGCCAAAGTCAGTCAGCTTGACGTGGCCCGTGGAATCGACGAGAAAGTTCTCGGGTTTCAGATCACGGTGAATGTAGCCCAGTTGGTGGAGGGCATCAACGGAGCAGAACATCTCTGCAATGTAGAAGCGCGCGTGTCGGTTGCTCAACACGCCAGTGTTGTTCAGCAGAGTGCGGAAGTCTCCACCGGGGACGTATTCCATGGCAAGATAGATACTCTTGTCATCCTGGAAGGAGTACAAGAGCCGAACGAGCCACTCGCTCTTCGCATTTGTCAGAATGTCGCGCTCGGTCAGAACATGGCGAACCTCATCCAGCTTGAACAGCAGCTTCTTGCTCATGACCTTCAGGGCGCAGACTTCACGTGTGTCCTTCTTCTGCGCTAGGAACACCTGGCCGTAACCACCCTGTCCGACCTGAGTGAGGATCTGGAAATCGCCATGGCGCAGACGGACACGACGCTTTCGAAGGTTGGCCCTCTCACGACCTGCGTATTTCTGCCACATCTGGCCGTATGTGGCCTCATCCGTTTGCTCAGGAGGAAATTCCGACTTGAAAGCGGTGAGTCGACTTTGGCGGGAGCCGACGTAGGTAAGGAGATCGAAGTAGTAGTCGAGGAAGTCTGGGCGGAATCATCTCGGTCAGTTCCCCGTGTGCTCGGTGACATACGGCCTGGACATGGCGGGTATACATACATAGCTGGGTCACATTTACCAACCTCCGAACGTTGGGGCGCTGGAGAATCTCAAGCTCCTCTGGCGTGAGCGCCCGTGATGTGTTGAACTTTTTGGCCGGTGTCGAAGGTCTGTCCCGGGTCTGAAAGCGATCATGCCTTGAAAGAGGCGTCTGGCCCTGGGCAGGAGAGTCGTAGCCGCCACCGAGACGTCCCGAGGGAGGCGCATTCTCTTGACCATGCTGCTTCTTCAAGGGGCTGCCAGTGGACACGGCGGATCGGTGGAGGATGCTATCGTCAACGTTGGGACTAGCCTCATCCAGTGGACTGGGTCGGTTCTTGCCGGGCGACTGCGGGGTTGTGATGACGCTCTGTGGTCGGCCGAGCTTGACTGGGCTCTCGAGGGCGGGCAGAGCATTGAGTTTCATTGCGTTTTCAAAAGCTTCTGGTAGCTCATGGGCGCCGGGAGGAAGCGTCCTCTTGCTGGGGCTGCCCTGCGGGGTGCTGACGGGGTTGACGAAGTTGCTCGAGTTGTCCCCAGTGGGCGTGGTTGGGGCGCTCACTGCCCAGCTTCTCTTTGCTCCCGCCGGGGAAGAAGTTGGACATGAAGCTCGCCATTGTTGCGATCGATACCCTGGCGATAGATTCGAAGGGGAGGGATCAACAAGCCAAGCAGCTGCGGATGCAGGGGTTGTGAGTACTGATATCGAGAACAGTCGAAGCAGGATGGCTGGTGGAGAGCCCAAATGTGGAAGGAGCAGTGAAGGAAGTCCTGATAAACAAGTACCAGACTCGAGGTTATGGAAGACGAAAATGTTGTTCTGCACAGGGCAGAGTCAGAGACAGGGAGAGAGAGGGGTGGTGGTGGAATTTGGTGTGGGCAGGAACGGAATGCATTCAATGGAAAGCACTGATTCAATCGAGGTGGGAGGGGGTTGCAGTAGCGGCAATGACAACACCAGCAGCAGCGGCAGTAGCGACATCAGGGCCCAATCTGTAAGGCGATCGATGGCGGCGGTGGTGCCGTTCCTGTGGTACCTACCTAGGTACGTTATGCGGAATGGAAGCGTGCTATTGGGTAGGGCCAGGGATCTGTCAACAGAGGTTGCAGCAGCAACAACCATCCCCTGTTTGAGCCTACCATCACGTGAAGTCGGATAAGGTGACATCAGCCTTCGCGATAAGGATTTGGAGACTCACAGCCGTGAGCCTCGAGCAACTAGCAACAAGCAGCGAGCAACGCATTTGTCAATCGAATTCCGCTACTTGACACACTCGAGCAACACCAAGGCTCTTAAACACTCGATCGGTCGAGCTGCAGACCCATCCTCACTGTTCCACGCCGATAGAATGGCGAAAGAGCGGAACTTCAATCCAGTCCAGGCCCAGCGCAAGGCCGACAAGGCCAAGGCCATCAAGAAAGGTGTGATTATGTCCCCCCAACGACAACGAACGAACCTTGAAAGCTGACACGTCACAGGAAAGTCAGAGGTCCAGAACCGTCGGAACGAAAAACTTGCGCGCCGCAACCCCGATCGCATCCAGAAACAGATTGATGATCTCAAAGCCATCACCACCAATGGCGCCAAACTATCTCGCCACGAGGAGCAGGTCCTCGAAGGCCTCGAAAAGGAACTTCGCGCAGTGAAGAAGGCGCGAGAAGCCATGGGAGACGCTGCTCCCTCTTTCGGTCGAGGCTTTTCAGGACGCGATCACACAGGTCCGGGAGGCGGTGTTCTGGGCAAGAGGCGGCGTGGCACGGAAGCTGCTTCAAGTGACGAGGACGACGACGACGTGCCAGAGGACGTCAAGCGTATCCCTATGCCGCGAGACACGCCGCCTCCGATTCCCAAGGATGTCATGGATGCCTGGTGGGCGCGGCGACGTGCGCGGCGGCAAGCAGATCGACAGGAGGATGAAGGGGCAGATTCACAACCACGGAAAGCAGGAAGACAAACAGTGCAAAACGAAGCCCCTGCCGTGGAAGCAAGAACCGTGTACGAAGCGAAACCGGTTGTTCGCAATCTCCAGAAGGAGGCCGTCTCGGCCTTCGTGCCCAGTGTCGTCAGAGCAAAATTGGACAAGAGCAAAGGGCGCGGTGGGCTGATGGAGCCAGAAGAAGCCAGTCAGCTGGAGAAAGAGGGCTACTTAAGACCTCGAATAGAGCAGGGGGGCTCTGCATCGCACAGAGCAACTGTAGAGGAAGCAGCGGATGATGAGGGCTGACAAAAGGCAAGTGCAGGGGCTCCTACAAGAGTTGGCAATGTGACAGAACAGAACCTCACAATGTTATTCTTAACATCCTGAATGGTATTCCATGATCCTCTTGAGGTTGAAACATTCCATGTCGATAAGATATGAACGTGGGTCTTGTTGAGCGTCACCTAGAGGCTAGGTTGGAACCAGTCCACTAGACCCCTAGGCCTTGTCGATGAAGTTACTTATCTATAGTGTCGAAGGTCATGGTATGCCAAGTGCCCGTGTCTGTCATGCAAAGCTCCGAAGCTGAAGCTGGAAGGAGGTGGAAACACGGCCTAAGAAATTGAAACCTCAATCACGTACACGATCAGTGTTATCAAAACCATGCGCTGTCGCGAGCTCTGCGTATCTTTTGGACATTGGGAAACAGATCAGGCAATCTTCAGAGGGGCAGTTGGAAGTCTCCTATGTAGGACGACCGACCCACCAAAGACACGGAGCTGAACCCGTCTGAGCGTTCGTCGTGATTGGCCAGATCCACTTCATACTCCTGCTACTGTCACCCTAGGTTCCTCTTCTTCCATCCAACACACAATCCCCTCGCCGACTATTGGAGTACGGCATCGATGACAGTTACGTCGTCATCGTTCCCCTTCCATGGCTTGCTACGATGTTACTGTGGCCTGGCCAAGGGCTCTACCTACACTGTTCCTGCGACCGTCTCGGTTGGCCGTGAACTCGAACTTGGGATCGCCACCGTTATACAACAGTCGCAGCAGTCCTCGTTGACTTCCTCGTCAGCCTGATTGTTTGCCATCAATTATTTGATTCAGTTGTCTTGACTGCGGTCTTTAGCACCGCCGCGAGCTTTCGATTTCAACACCCTCCTCACAGTTTCCTCCAGCGATACCACCATGGCATCCAGTGGATGGCCCCCTCCCCAATCCACATGGTTCCGAAACCAAGCTCCGCAAATTCGTTGACGAAGTTGGCCTCCCGGCCACCCGTCTGACGATGTTCTGCTTTCGATACCTTGGCCTTTTCAACAAATTGCAGCGCCACGATTTTCCGCTATGCTGGTGTATAGCGAAGCACTTTCAGCATGTTGCTAGCAATATTGCCCGACTTGTTAGTTGCCTACAGACAGTCAGCCGTGCTGCCGATCGAGTCTAATATCGATGTCTAATCTATCGAGGACGTCCGAACGTCAAGAATCCCCAGAAGACCTCGGCTGTGTGCCGGACACTTGGTTCGGGAGGATATGCGCTTTGGTTCGCGACTGCTCACATTCGACCATTCTCGACGTCCGCCGAAACAGAATTTCGAGTACGACAGAAATTCCACAGACATGTTCTCGGGAAACTCCAGTTGTCAGACCAAAAATAACGCGTGCTTGACAATAAGCTGCGGTACCTTTGGCGTCTCTATGCAACGTCCGACATCCTAAACACAACTTCCGCAGTGCCCTCATGGCATGATCGACAAGACAAATCAGGCATGTCTACACTGTCTTGCGTTGCCAAAGGAGACCCGAGCTTAGCTAGCACCTACCCCTCCATGTTTACCGTCGACTACTAAGACCCGACGGGCAGCGAATCGACAGCGAAGACGACAACAGGTCCAAACCTGGGCTCCACAGTATCGTTGGGAAAATGTCACCAGAACAGCGCCTTCTTGGGCAGTCCCCTCCTCATTGAAACAAAGAGCAAGCATCGACACGACGAAGACCAGAACATGGAATTGGGAGCAACTCAGCAATGTTGTGGGCCGCTGGGTTGTGGATTGACTGGCATCAATTTGCCAAATACCCACTACGTGACCTGAGGTAACTCATGAAACGGACAATTCTGTGGTATGTGGTAGGTGTTTCCTGAACAACATCATCTCAAGACGACGCATTCAATATTGAGGCAAAAGGCTAGAAAAATTGACTGACTCTTTGATAGGCTGTCTAGTCGGTATGTTGCCGTCGAACCCACCCACATCAGAATTGGCGAACCGGGCAGCAACCCGCCCCTTAGCCAACTGGGCCGTGCTATCATGTTTGAGTCCAAGCCCCTCAATATGCTTCGGAGCTGGTCCCGCCACCGCGGCTCTTTTTTAAGAGCCACCCTGTGTGGGCCAGATACCCCGTCATCATGGCGACAGAGTGACGCACCGAACCTTGCCAGCTTCAGTCCCGCTCACTTCAGTCACGTGACATATGCAGCTCTCCAGCTGTTCGGATTGTTTTCTCCGATCCCCTGCGGAATCCAGACGCGGCGGTTTATACTGGGAGAAAGCCATGTACAGTCTCGAGCTGTCCCGTTCGCGCCTCCAGTCAAGGTAAAGCTGCGGCCCCACAGCTTGAAACGCTCTCATACGGAGAAAGTTTCTGTGTCAGGAAGCGCATTCTGCCTCGCTGGTAACTGAGCCATGTCAGCTATAACACGTTTGGTGTTGCTGTATGTTGTTCAAAGCCCTTCTGACGATGTGCATGGGCTCTTTGCCCCTCATACTGGACCAGTCGATGCGGGGCCAGCACGCAGTCTCTTATTGGCCACCGATGGGACAAGAGCAGCGAGCCTGAGAAACAGCTTTGGACCACCCATCACCGTGCCCAAGCCCACGTCTCGTACCGGGCCAGTCGCTTCAACGAGGTCTGACTATAACGGAAAACACGGTCGAAATTCTCCGCAGGCGACCATGAAGCCTTACCGCGAGCTTCTGCCTGCTAATGCGAGCTTTGTGGACGATGCCGACCTAGCAGAGGCGTCATCTACTTCCTCCATCTCGAGTAGCAAGAAGCGTGCTCCGCAGACCAAGGTGGCATGTTCTGCCTGCCGCCGCAAGCGAACGAAGTGCGATGGCCGTCGGCCTGTATGCTCGACCTGCGCCGCCACGATTCGCCGGTCAGCTGAGGAATGTGAGTATGACGTCGACCCTGACCTTACTCGAACGGCTGCTCTCAAGAAGAAGAACAGCGACCTTCTTCGCCGTAGCCGTCTCTTGGAACAGCTCTTCCATCTACTGACTCTACGCACCGAAGATGAGTCAATCGCAATCATTCGCCGAATGCGTACGACCAATCTGGACGAGGATATTGAGAACCTGATCAGCTTCATCAAGAGCGGTGATCTGCTCATGATGTTTCACTCTGCAGAGTCCGGTTCCAAACACGTCGAAGCTATCAACCTTGCCGCTGCTGGAGACGTGGACTCCGGCGCTGCGCGTACCTCGTCCGACGAAGCTACTGCACTGCTTGAGACTTTGTGAGCAGCTTACTCCGGCGCATTCGGCCCCACGCTTCTATTTACTGATCAGGGCACCCTAGATTTGCCTGTATAGCAAAACTTGATCAGCACTCGCGAGCGTCTGTCCTCCTGAAGCTCAGATTACGTATCAATGAGCTCGACGCCGAGACTGGGCTAGACCAGTCAGCAACGAACGCACTGGAATCTTCATCTAGAGACACCACGCAGTCTTTGGTATCAGAAATTGAAACTGCAGTGCAACACACAGAGACAACCCCAGCGGCACCGCGAAGGTAAAGGGCACCAACTATATCCGTTAAAACCGACAGTCCCGTGCCAGTCCGATGGGGCAACCCGGTGTCTCCCCCCTTTCGGAGGCATAGATATGCGTGCAAGACTAAATGCATGACGGGTGAAGACAATATCGACTGGCCAATCATCATTCTTTGGCAACGTCCAACCATAAGTAACTCGGCACCGATAGAGAGCGAGAGGAGGAGCATGCGACAATACACTGGCATTGCATTGCAAGGTGTTATGTGAGGTTGCCGCAGGCATGGTCCGCTGGTTTGCCCCACGAGAGAACGACTGAGAATGTCCGCCGAGGTCTCGAGTATAACGTCAGCCAGCTTCTCGGTCCATTGAGTGTGCAGCATCGAGTGTAACACTGCGGCTGGATCAGTTCTTTCTCGTGGGAGGGCAGGATTCAAGACATTAAGATGCGAATACGTGGGGAACCATCTGGACATAATTAGGGATATTCCAACGGGCTAGCAGCGCAGGGCATCTGCGCAGCTGGTCGACGATGACCACGCGGGCTGCCAACAACGATGGTTCTTTCAGTCAACGCATATTACACACAACAACAAGCACCCATGTGAGGCGAACGTAGTGTTGTCGCCTGGCAGAACATCATGGATGGTAAACTGAGCGAGCAATCGGATAGCTGGAAGGTGAAAAATTCCGAACAAGGGCTTGAGGTTCAAGTAGCGTCATCAATAGCCCACGTTTTGATGGTTGGCGGAACAGTCCGATTGGACACGGTACGGCGTGATCGAGGTTCCGCAGGAGGAACTCTGAAGAGGGGCAACACCATGATTACCCTGGTGCTCCAGGCCATGCCGTCCGATAGCTTTCTAGTCAAATGCACCCCGGCCGGGGCGGATCGTTCTCCCCAGGCCTGGCCCAAGAGCATCGGATTTAGTGCCGGGTGAATTTGGAGAAGGAGGAGGTGAGGGGGAGGAGGTAGTAGGGGGTGGGAAAGCCGCTTAGCCATAGCGTTTGCCTGCCGGTAGACCCTCCTTACCCATGTCGGCCTGAAGCGTCCGCACCGCCGGTAGGTTCATCTATATATACCCATCGGTCGAAACGTGCGGTGCGACAATGGACCGGTCTGGTTGTCTGTCTGCTGCTGCTCGGTGACAACTGAGGGCTTTTCAAGCGTCCAGATCAACAAATAAGCTTTGATTCACGGAGCAGAAAATCTGCCACTTTGGCCCTCCAACCCCTGGAACCGTCAAGAGGCGGAATGCGCATTCGACTGGAGGTTGCTGACGATGGCATCTCGGAGAATACGACGACGCAAACAACGGTGTATGGCAACATGACTGCTGTCCCTACCATAAGAGAAGAAGTGAGTAAAGAGACACCGTCATCGCCAAGCAGGGGACGTGCGGACTTGACGTCAGACCATTCTGTCACCGCCGACGAAGAAAGAGACATCATCAGGGACACTGAGGGGCCAGACGAAGAGGGCTTCCCCGAGGGCGGTTTACATGCATGGCTTGTTGTGCTGGGCTCTTGGTTGGCACTCTTTTCGAGTCTCGGGTTGATGAACAGTCTCGCCGTGTTCCACAATTACATCGGCACGCATCAGCTGGCGAGCTACTCGCACGGCACCGTCGGCTGGATCTTTTCCGTATACACCTGGCTCTGTTTCGGCGGTGGTCTCTTCATCGGGCCACTCTTCGACAAGTATGGGCCTCGCTGGTTGATTCTGTCTGGGACGGTATGTCTGGTGGTGGCCGTCATGCTGCTCAGTATTTGTACTGGTTGGTCTTTCTGGTCGTGTCATGACACCCGCCCCTCCTCCCCCCCCCCCTTCTCACCCACCGCCGCCGCTTTCCAGTGCCCCTGTCGGCTTGGCATCGAGCCACGTCGGCTGCTGACTTACTTACTCGCGTAGACTACTGGCACTTCATGCTTGCCTTTGGCGTCCTGAACGGGCTCGGGGCGTCGCTCCTCTTTACACCTTCGATTGCGGCAGTTGGCCATTGGTTCAAGGAGCGGCGTGGGCTGGCGACGGGCGTGGCGTCGTCCGGGGGGTCAATCGGTGGGATCGTATTTCCGCTGGCGCTCAATGGGCTCTTGGACAGGCTGGGGTGGGCGTGGACGATCCGCATAATCGGCTTCATCTGCCTGGCGCTCTGCGGCACGGCAAACCTGCTGATCCGGTCGAGGTTGCGGCCAGCGCTCAACGCGACTGCGCGCCCCGACTTCCGCATACTGCGAGACACGGCGTTCGCACTGACGACGGCGGGAATATTCCTGCTGGAACTCGCGCTTTTCATTCCGATCACGTACATCTCCAGCTACATGGTGCACGAGGGTTTCAGGACCGACCAGGCGTACCAGATCCTGGCCATCCTCAACGCGGCAAGCGTCTTTGGTCGAGTGCTGGCGGGATGGTGGGGTGACGCGTTCGGGCCGTTCAATTCGAATATGCTCGCCGTCGTGCTCAGTATGGTCGCGTGCCTGGGAGTCTGGCTGCCGGCGGGCTCGACGCTCGGCGGCATCGTGGTGTTTGCGGTGCTCTTCGGCTTCGCCAGCGGCAACAACATCAGCATCAGCCCTGTGTGCATCGGGCGGCTGTGCATGACGCAGAACTACGGACGCTACTATGCGACGACGTACACGCTGGTGGCATTTGCGTGTCTCATTGGCATCCCCATTGGCGGGGAGATCATCACGGCGACGGACGGGGAGTACTGGGGGTTGAAAGTCTTTACGGGGGCCATATACTGCACGTCTCTGCTGGCGCTCTGGGCGGCTAAGGTGGTGTGCGTCGGGTGGCGGGTGCTGGCGGTCTTCTGAGTCGGGCGGTACTACGTTCGCCGTCAGGTACCAAGATGGAACATGATCTGACAATTGTACTTGTTGCTGGGGCTGCTGGTTCGTCTGTCCTACGTGTCGCGCGAGCCCTCTCGGACGTGCCCAAATGTCCGGCGCAGAATCTGTCCCGGGAAAGTGGGCCCCGGTGGAGCTGACGAACGGGGTCGAGCACGGTCCATGTCGGCCCGGGCTTTAAGGGAAAGAGCTCCCGTCCTCCGAGCCTGCCTCACTCACTCTCACCTCCCCCTGCACCTGCCTGCGCCCGCATCTCAACCTCGACTGGCGCTTGATGCCGCCCCTGCCCTGAACGCACACTCATATTGATCACGTGAGTTGAGAGCCCTGTTTCGTCTGGACTTGTCTTGTCCTTGCATCTCGGTTTTTCTGCTTCGGCCTCTCCTCCATACATGCCGGCGGGGCCGAGGTCTGAAACCAGTCCCATGGCAATATTCCCGCACACGCACGACTTGCTATGCCTGCACAATGACATCTTGCCGTATAGGAGGGGTCCGAGGAATGCCTTCAATGGGATGGCACTCATTACAGCCTTGTGCTTCAAGCCACCTCTTCCTCTGTTTCGTGTCTACCTACATGCGCCCTTGCTAATGACAGCCTCAGACAAGATATACGACATACGGTCCAATAGCACTCACGCCAGTTTCCCCGGGTCTCAGGCAGAGCCTCCACCATGTCGAACGACGCGCAAGTAGAGGATCACTACTTCTCTGCCAACCCGCCACCAAAGGCCCTTGCTAGACATGTGGCCCAGGCGAGCGCCTTTCTGGACCATCAAGTCGCCTCAGACCGCCCTGTTGTCCTCATCACCTCGGGCGGCACGACCGTGCCCCTAGAGCGCAACACGGTCCGCTTCATCGACAACTTCAGTGCCGGCACTCGCGGCGCCACCTCGGCCGAGTATTTCCTCGAGGCCGGGTACGGCGTCATTTTCCTGCATCGCGAATTCAGCCTCCAACCCTACAGCCGCCACTACTCACACGCCACGGACTGCTTCCTCGACTTCCTCCAGGAGAGCCCCGACGGCAGCGTTGTCGCCAACAGCGCCCCACCAAGAGAAGATGCTCGCCGTCCTCCGCAAGTACAACACTGCGCGCGCCACCAACGCGTTGCTCGTCATCCCCTTTGTCACCATTACCGACTACCTTCACGAGCTGCGCGCCATCTCCGGCTCATGCGCCCT